GATACTTAGCAAAGACTGCAAAGAGAAGACGAAAGCAAAAAGATGCCAACTAAAAAGTAAATGGTGCCGCGAGGACGAGCTTCTGATGGTTGCCTGTTTATTAAACTCTGTCCATTATCTTCACCTATATTTAGTGTCGAGTCATCATTTATAGGTTGTGCTACTAGGTATCAGCTTGCGCTGAGCTCATATTATTTAAATACCTACTGATTATATTTTTGAATAGTTTAATCTCAGTATTACGGCTTTGTGTTTCAAAAACTCGTATCGAATTTCTAGTTGGGGAGTAGGTACTTACTTAAACAGGATACATTTAAATCTGTTATAATTTTTTTTTGCAGTTTCTTTTAGAGAATTAAAAGACCTTTCAAACAAGGTATCACATGACCTTTAAAGATTTTTAGGTTAGGGTGGCTACCGCCGGAGGGGTGGTTCAGGGAAAGGTGAAAAGTACGGATTTTTTTTTATCGATTATCGTAGATATAGGACATTGACAGTTTTCGGTGAGACACCCAGTACATTCTGCTACTTGATAATTTTATTGTGTATTTTTTTCTAATACACTTTTTTTTGACATCATTGATGTTTGCCGACTCTGGTAATGTTCTGCATTTTTTTGCGCTGATTTCTGTATCATAAAGAGATTCGATCTGCGATTGTCCGGTCCAAAAAATGTGAGCCAGGGATCACTCAAATGAAATAATTTCAATTTTTCTCCATATCGTTATCGGGAAAGATTTGCCTTGCTCTTGTTTACGGTTCATAAACTAAGTACATCTGATTCGGTTAAGTATTTTATTTTATTTTCTCAAATAGCTCTCGAGCTCTTCTAGAACATGTAGTGCCGAAATTCGATTGAAATTCTCCATCTTTAGCACAAATCGGACGATATCTAGAATATTCTGAGTGAATAATGAGAATAGCAAAACTGTTACCTCGCCAGTGCTATTGATATTTACCCCTTGTAGTCCAAGAGCCCAGAGCCGCCAGACACAACTTATTTTCTAAAGGACAGAATATGTGGGATTGTGTAGCACTTATATGTACTATGAACGTATGGATACCCGCTAAGTTGGGTAGACGGTCAATTTACCAACATCAGGTGGGAAAGCTGAAGAAAGCTTTAACTTTTGTTCTAACGCTTGATTTTTATATATGGTATTGGGGAGACCATTTCATAACTACGTGTGCTCAGCCAGACCAATCGCACCGGCCAAATATCCCCCAAGACGCAAAATAATTTTTCCGGGAGTGTAAGCGCGAGGGTACTATGCATGCGTTTGAGAGTGAGCGAGATATCAATGTCAACTGATTTCCCACTCTTAAACTTACAGTCTACTCTAGGCTAGAGTAGAAATGGGATTAGGTTTTTCCCATGATAGGAAAAACCGTTATTTACAAATAACAGTGAATTGGCCGTCTACCCAACTTAGCGAATATACATACGTTCATAGTACCTATGAGTGCTACTCAATCCCACATATTCTGTCCTTTAGAAAATAAGTTGTGTCTGGCGGCTCTGGGCTCTTGGACTATTGATACAACAGATAATTTTCTCAATTTTCCAGTCATTGAATTGATCTAGGTTGAGAGAATCGTCCAGTTTCTCTGGTAAAAGTATACTGCTGGTCAGCGTATACGTATTCCACTTTAGTGATGCACACTCCGTTTCCATAAGTTTCTTTGTTCCTCTGAAATACTTTCTTTGTTACTGCCCTTTTTAAAATACTAACAATTCTCTCATATTTTTCTTTTAGTTCTGATAGCTTTTGTTTGAAATCTGTATCCATATTTTCCGCCATGTTATGTTTGAATTTTATCTAATATCTTTCTTGACAGCCTTTCATCAATTAAATAAAAACAGATATAGGGACAAAACATAACAGTTACTAATAGTCCAAGAGCCCAGAGCCGCCAGACACAACTTATTTTCTAAAGGACAGAATATGTGGGATTGAGTAGCACTTATAGGTACTATGAACGTATGTATATTCGCTAAGTTGGGTAGACGGCCAATTCACTGTTATTTGTAAATAACGGTTTTTCCTATCATGGGAAAAACCTAATCCCATTTCTACTCTAGCCTAGAGTAGACTGTAAGTTTAAGAGTGGGAAATCAGTTGACATTGATATCTCGCTCACTCTCAAACGCATGCATAGTACCCTCGCGCTTACACTCCCGAAAAAATTATTTTGCGTCTGGGGGATGTTTGGCCGGTGCGATTGGTCTGGCTGAGCACACGTAGTTATGAAATGGTCTCCCCAATACCATATATAAAAATCAAGCGTTAGAACAAAAGTTAAAGCTTCCTTCAGCTTTCGCACCTGATGTTGGTAAATTGGCCGTCTACCCAACTTAGCGGGTATCCATACGTTCATAGTACATATAAGTGCTACACAATCCCACATATTCTGTCCTTTAGAAAATAAGTTGTGTCTGGCGGCTCTGGGCTCTTGGACTATAACAGATTAAATGGTAGAATTAGAGCAGTAATATATAAAAACATAATAACACATAACTCCGCTATGTCAATCCCAAACCTGTGGCTGCTCTAACGGAAAAGGCGAGGAGGGTGGAGTAATTACCTCTGAAAAAAATAAAGTTTATATGGCCCTGCGGAAGGGCTTCTGCAGTTGCTGGGTCAGGGGAAGGAAATTTCGATCAATAATTCCCTGGTCTTTCAGGATGGGAGTTGAGACATCAGGCAAACTAGCTTATAATCGGTTTTAGCCCAGTGATCAAAAAATCAAAAAAGGCATCGGACGCAGAACTGTAAAAAACAAAGACGACCACAGCAACGGAAAAGAACTAACATGGAACGCACAAGAAATTAGATACTCGAAAAGTGATCAAAACTATGCAGGGAGCTGGTAGAATGATTATAGACCTGGGCAGTACTAAGAGGAACAATAAGAAATGAGAAAGGATCTAAAAAACATGCAAAGAAATCAGCGTCTTCCAAGAAGTATCCATGATGCAATGGATTACGCAAGTTCATCACCAAGTGAGAGACTAATGAAAATGAATTTAACGATAAACGGGCACCTATATTTACGATATTTGGAATCTATGATATGAATGATGATGCAAATGCAGCCACAAAAGATAGCTTCGAGGAAATCAACAGAGAAATATTATAAGTCAGTGCTTTTAAAACAGTAGAACAGGTCGACAGCTGATCAGTTCACTGTTGGCCGACATTGTCAATGATTATGGAAACAGGCAAACAATCAGATCAGAAAATCTAAAATGGCGCCTTCCAAAGGCCAGAATCCTTATCAGAGGCAAAGTCGGTATCACCAAATTATATGAAGACAGTACGTGAGAAGTGATTCACAAGTGTATATACACAATATAACAAGCATAGAGCGCGACAACGTGAAGAAGTCAAAGAAGATTGAAAAAACCTTGAAGTATCGTCATGTGAGAACTCAGATAAATACGAAACCATTAACAAAGCATTCATCAAGCCGTAAATGTCGAACTAGGTCAAATAGAGTAAACCCTAACAGAAGGGAGTTAGTATAGGATGAAGAAATTGAGAGAAAAATAGAAGATAAGAGAAGACCAACTTATTAAAAAAAGATCGAGTGGCAAAGATAAAAAGAACGCACAGACAAAAGTGAGAAAAATGATAGGTTCGAAAAAGAATAATAGAATCAAATAAAAATAATTACCCATGGAATAGAATATGCCAAAAATAGAATCATATATGGGATGACAAAAAAGCACGGAGAGTTGGAAAGAGCATAAAAAATAGAAGCATCATATCCAGCAAGACGCATCATCCAGAAGAATGGAAAACTTCTCACCTATCCACAATTCACGAAAAGGCAGCGTTTTTCAAGTTATATCTGAAACAAGTTCTCAAAAAGTCTTATAATAAAAAACTAACACAAGCATGATGTATTACCAATTGGAGAATATTTTCTAGAATATGAAATATTCTTCAATGGCAATCTGTACCTAATGGAATGAAATGACCATAAACACGACGTTTTGTCCACATCAAATTCAAATTCACCCCTTGTTTTAACAAAACAGCGTCCCTTTTACCATAAGATATCGATCTCGCCTAATTACCAGGCAAAATTTGCATACAGGTGTAATAATTCACGCCGCTTTCGGACGCTCGAATTCAACACCTTTAATCCAAATAATAATTTAAAGCACCAGGGCTGTAAATAATACATTACGAGTTTTGGGGTTTCGCTTGACGCTGGCTGGACTAAATTACGCTCCGCCGTGCCAATGTTTGTATCTGCGAGTTTCCCGTTATTACCGGTCACTTACTCATAAATTTAGACTGTGCATTTTGCTAACTGAAATGGTGCATTGCGGAAATTTTTGCTAATAAATTTCAGATCCTCGAATCCTAATTGATTCAAATTTGTAATGCAAAAATTTTGCATAAAATTCAGCCATGCAATTAAACGATCATCATTACGATTGTTAACTTGAAATGGCAATTTTTTATTCCATTTATTTCTAATTGACACAAATTAAGTCACTGACAAGTACTTATAGCATCTATCTTCCATAATTGTCACACTGTATTAAATTAATTAGTGACTGCTCTCGCACGTTGCTGTATAATCGATTCTGAAGTAATATTTATTTAGTACTCATTAAAGTATAATAAGCCAGGATCGGAGTTGAACGAAACTCATATAGTCGATTAGTTCATTTAACTCGGAAGATTATTCTCTGAAATAAAAACACGCAATTATCCGAATAATTGGCATCAAGCAAACCAAGATAAAATGCGAAAGCATTAACTTTACTTTTCAGTTGATTAGCCTACATTAAAGACGATGACCATTAAGCCACTATTATCTTCTTTAATAGGAGTGAAGCTCATAAAACAATTTATATTAATTTATACGTTTAAATGTACCTATACGATTACTTTAAATAATATGTATTATACATTTTATCATCTGAGCTTAATGAGATACTTAGTAGGTTGCTCTATAAAATGAACAGGGATTATTCTTACCTTCTATTTTGGTACCATGTTTTGACTTGTGTGTCCGTAAGACTGAGTTTCGCCGCTAATTCCATTCTATCCTGTACACTGAGATATTTTTGTCTCTCGAAACTTTTTTCTAGCGTTTGTAGTTGTAGATCCGTGAACGCTGTTCTTGCTTTTCTTTGTTTTTTACTCATTGCCCCACTGGAACCTTTCGAGTTTATTGAGTCGTCCCCATTTGGACCTGGAAGTAAAAGTATAATAAATTACATATATTCTAAATTACAGATTATTTTTTAAAAAGTATATTAATTGTGGCAATATTTTTATTCAGAAAGTCAATCTCCGTCTTCGAGAGTATTACATAATATAGTACAACTAGTTGATACAAGCATATTTTATAAATAATACTAACGGGCACAAAACGAGGCATATGTTCTCTCGAGCAGCATAGCTTCCTATTGAGGAAAACCACCTATTTAAAATATCATTTCTTTGAATCTTAACTTTTAAAAAACGTTTAGTGAATAAAAGTAAATGTTGCGAACCTAGAGGCAACACAGAAAAAAAGCGTACGAAGGGTAGGTAGAAGAAATAAGCGACTAGACTAGAGAATAAGCGGTACTCTGGGCTGGTCCCTTAGACCGTTTGTCCGCCATTGTTCATTATTCAGTCGTTAGTCAGTTTTTATTTTGCATTAAACTGATTGTTCAATCCAATTTGTGATTAGTTTGTGTTTATACAAGAATTATTTTTTCATTTTTATGTATTTTTTGATTGTTTATAACATTTTTTTATAACATGCGCATTGTTCATGTATTTAACAAAAATTGTTTCATGCTGTTAACAACACCAGATAAAGAGTAAATTAAAACCTAGAAGAATTAGGTGCCGTCCTTTTGTGCTGGGCCTTGTTGAATTAACTAACAGTTTCCTACTCTGACGAGAGAATATCCTAGCAAATTGAAATAATCAATCTAAAGATATTGGCTAAAAAACAACTATAGCTGAGTAGCTTCCCGTATGGGACCTCAGTACCTGCTGGGAAACTGGCTAACTAACAAAAAACAAACTCTTCAGTATTGAATATAGGTAGTGTTGATTGAATGGTGTGTGTATAATAAAAATTTTAGCACAAAGACAAAAGACGGTACCTAATTTAAACTATCACTGACTTAAATTATTGATTTATTGACTCACAATTAATTATTAAAATGACACAGTGTGTTTTGATTTTTGAGGAATGTAGATCGAGGGTTTCTCTGCCGTGCTCTTTGCCCTTGTTAGTTCCAGGATGAGAACGGTACGATTTACTTTAATAATAAAGTAGACGTTTCACAAATTTTTCGTTTCTATTACATATCACAACCTTTCTTAAATTTCCCTAATATTTGCTATGTCTAGTGAGTAAAATTGAGTAAGTAAGTTTCTACGATGTGGTCCTATTTGTTTTTCATTCCGGGTTTTCAGAATATTTTTTGTTTGAAAGGTAATAAAAATTCACACCGTTTAATCTTGCCGAGGGTATGTTATACTACACTATCTTAAGGACAGGCTCTGAGAAAACTTTAAAAAGTTTGATTAGGTACTGGTAAATCCTTGAAAAAAACTTAAATTTTCATCTTATTATAATCAAATCTTTTTTTTTTTTTTCACGTTCCTGCATGCGACCCGACAGGAAAAACGGTATACCTAATCATAAGTATATGTCTTTTCATCGCAATAGATTGCTTGTTTGAAAAATACATTTCTGAAACATACGTCTTGGAATACTTAATATTGAAGCTACTTTAAACAAAAAATAAAATCATCATAATTATATCCTTCAACACATTTATCTCAACAAAAAAAATTACTTTTCCTCTTTCCCTTTTGCACTCTATAATCTCACTCAAACAAAATAATGTGAAAATTTTGAGTTAATTTTCTTCGTTTTTCCATCCACAGACGCGTTTCAATCTATCAGATCTCATCAGTGTGGCTAGGAAAGCAAAGAAACCCAACCCAAGTTTAGTGCTTGCAGGCAAAGTAGGAGTAGTACGAAGAATGAATTTTAGTCGTGGCGTCATCTAAGATGCGGATTTAGCACTAAACATTTTTGCTGTAAAAGTACTGACCGTCTAATAGGCCGACCAAAAATCAGTTCGTTGGGAAAACCCAAAATAGGGAAAACAAGCTCTCCTATTATACATTGATCTGGAAATGCTGGGTTAATTTTCTCCGCGTTTCCATCCACAGACGCGTTTCGATCTATCAGATCTCATGTGGCTAGGAAAGCGATGAAACCCAACCCAAGTTTAGTGCCTGCGCCTGCAGGCCACGACCAAATTTCGCTCTTCGTACTACTTCTACTTTGCCTGCAGGCACTATACTTGGGTTGGGTTTCTTTGCTTTCCTAGTCAAACTGATGAGATCTGATAGATCGAAACGCATCTGTGGATGGAAAAGCGAAGAAAACTACCCCAAAATGTTCACATCAGTGTATAGTAGGAGAAAACTTGTTTTCCCTATTTTGGGTTTTCCCAACGAACTGATTTTTGGTCGGCCCATCAGACGGTCAGTACTTTTACAGCAAAAATGTTGTTTAGGGCTGAATTCTAGTCTTAGATGGCGCCACTACCAAAATTCGCTCTTCGTATGAAAGATAAAAGGTTTGAGATTTTTATTCAGATTTACTATCATCACTTGCCATTGCGTCGGTACCGATAGTAGGTAGGGACCTACCTATAGACGTTGTATCCAAATTTTCGTAAACTGCATATGGAAAGCAACATCTACGTAGGAAGGCATTCCCAATGGGTACTTGGGGTTTTCTTATCTTTTTATAAGATGTTAGAACTGGTTCCTCATACGAAAAAGGGTAGGTATCTGTTGCCCACTTTTTTTCCCCAACGAAAAAATCTTCCTTTATGGTCATTTTGCGTCATTTTGGTGACATGAAACGGCTGAGAGCTACGACATGACCTAACCAACTAAATTCAGTCTGTATATATCAATAAAACAAAATTCTTCTGTTTCAACACCAAACTAAACTACTCAAAACTATTCGGGCGCATGTGTCAGCGAAAACTATATGGAATGAGCCCCTCACGAGAATATTCCCACTTATAGATATAGTGTCCCCCATAATGTTTGCTGCATGTGGGAAAATTTAGATATGGCAACGTGAAAAGTGGGGTTAGATGGCCAAAATATCGAAAAAATTTATTTAAAAAATAGTGATTAGAACGATGTTTTAGGGCTGTCTGCGAAATTTGGAGTAAAAGCAACATAAAATAGGAAATTATTTCGCCTCGGATATGCTTATGAATTTGCCGCCACAAAACGTGACCGATGTCAAAATGTACTTTTAGGTTATCGGACACGCAGAATCGATCGCACATAAGAAAACATTCCATGTCCTACAAATACAATTTTTTCCCATATTCTGTACGAATATTATGGGGGACACTGTACGGTAGGTATACATACTATTTTGTTATAGCATACATTTTCATTATTTGGCAAAGATTTGTCCCGCCGGCAGGCCTATTCCACAACCGCCTTTACGTATCCAGCCATGAACACCGTAGACGCGGCAACACTGCTTGGTGGTCGGCAGTTTCCATAATCGTGTAACAGCTGATGAGTATTTAACCTCTAATACATACTGTTGTTTATAGCTTTTTTTTTAAATTAAAATATGCTGAAAATATAGTTAAATTATAGATTGGTATTGTTGTTAGTGAATAACTAACTAGTTGGAACAATTTCCACAGTGTTTTTGTTAATAAGCAGTCATACAATGTCAAGTTTTTCTCTGGTTTAAATAGTGCCGGTGCCGGTTTGTGTGTTTGTGAACAATAATTATTTCTGGACATTAATTCGTTGTGTTTCGAAGCTTAAAGTGAACATTTATGTACTACTGGTACCTGCGTACCTAGCTACGTACCTTCAAATTTTTAATTTAATAACTGATGTCCTGGCATGCAATTGATGCAAATCCAATTATGAGAGTACTCTAAAACAAGCTAAATCAGCTGTTTCTACCTTTAAATTTCCAAATGAAGGTGATTTAAGAAAAAAATGGTTAAAATTAATCCCTAGGGATAACTGGGCAACATCAAGATATTCTTTTGTTTGAGCTCTATTCTTTGCGGAAACAGCCATTATTCGCGAAGATGATTATCTGTCACTATAATAAGTATAATTTGGTATCCAACCACATCAGTTTGAATTTATATCCATATAGGACCTACCTAGGTAGGTATGTTTCTGCTTCTTTGTATAATTAGTTAGATGATTACTCGATGATTTAGATTTGTTCTGTTTTGTAAAGATGTTGCTAGAACTTGCCCTCCAACTGGGCCTCAATAAAAAGTACCTATTTTATTATAAATAAAACATTTACAATAAAAAAAAAAATATTTTTTATTCATAACCCTTGTTAAACCGCCAATCACAAAAAATATATCTGGAAAAAAAAAATTGTAAAATTTGTAAAGCTATGTAAAAGATTCAAAATTCATTTTGAAGTGATTTATTGGAACATCTTGCCATTCTCTATCAAACGAGCAAATTTTTCATCACAATTTCATTCAACTTTTGCTGAAACTCAGAAACTATAATGGATAATTTAAAATTAGAATGAAGTGGATGTCGAAAAAAATGTCGATTGAATCATGCTGATAAGGAATCAATACTTGACATAAGCAGCTCCGATAATTTCAGTTTCTCTGAAATCATTTTAGTTCGAACAAACTTTGGGCCTATAGCTGAAAAGTGATTTATTACAATAATGTATATGATTGTGAGGTGGGTGAATCTATTCATCTCACTTTTTAACTCACAAATGGATATTAGGAGTATAATTTATAAACTTAGACTTAGACTTGGTAATTAAAATCGGTTAGGCAGTATCTAGCTGCGTTTTATGTCAACTATCGACTATAAAAATTAATGGCTCAACTTAATATAAGTGAAGCTACAAACAACTAGAAAATAAACACAGTATTTGAAGTCCATTATAACCAAATAAAATGTTACTTCGAAACAATTGTTATGTCATCGGAGGCGATCATAGGTTAGTTCGATAGTTGATAGAGCTATAGAGAGTATAATTATTACGCCTACCTACTAAAACTGAGAGTATAACAAACTCCTCAAAACAAAAAGAAAGAAGATATCTTACAAGCAAACTTCTGAAATTAAAAAAGGAGAATATTAGAATAGAACGATTTTTACCGGAAACAAAACTATTGACAC